ACTTGCCTCTTCTGCTTTTCAAGTTAGTGCAGTAAGTGGACAGTTAGCAACCACAGAGGCATTCTACCAACTGATGGTGCTCAGGAAAGATTGTTTCTGCTTCTCAATATCATTTGGAAGTTTTGAGTACCGATTTTAAAGCCTTTTTTTGTTTGTATTTAATATTTGAGAGCAAGCACGAGTGGGGGAAGGGCAGAGAGGGAGAGAGGATTCCAGGCAGGCTCCACGCTGTCAGCATAGGGCTCGAACGCATAAACTATTAAATCATGACCTGAACTGAAATCAAGAGTTGGCACTTCACTGGCTGAGCCACACAGGTGCCCCTTGACTACCGATTTAAATAATTTTTAATAGTTGAATTTTTAAGTACTTATTTTCAGACACAGTCTATTCCAGAACTCATTCCAACTCAGATCAGTTTGACTTTAACATGGCCATTTGGTGTTTGGCCATGTATGCTTAGCACATCTTTATGGCCTGTGGCACTGGCCTGTGTCTCTGCCACAGAGAAAGGGAAAATGGTTGAGGAAATTGCTACTCCAAAATTTGGTGGGACTGTCAGTCTGAAATCCAGATTTTGTACAATGGCTCTAGATCCATAAACTATGTATGGACCTGGGTTGAATGTGAGATCAAATTAGCCTGATTGGTTTATCCAGTATCTCCTGTGCAAGTTGGATCTTTTCATGAGGATGTCTTCTTTTAAAATTTAGAGCTGACAGGATTGAATGAAGTCCGGGCTGTTTCCCCTCCTCTAGAGCTTGATTGAAATACGAACTCCACTATCAGGCCAGCATTCGGCTCAGTAAAGGAAGGAGTCTTGGCTTCGTGTCGCCTTTTGGCAGTAGGAAGCAATCAAATAGAGGCATCCGGGTGCTCTGGTGTGTGGGCAAGGAAGCCTGATGATAGCGGAGCTTAAGATTCCCCAGACAGTCCTCAGTCCGTGATCTGTGCATCCCTTTGGCTTGACTGTCCAGCACTGAGGTTTTCTTAACAAAGTTTCTGCTGTTTTAACCAATGTGTTCACCGTTGCTTGATCTCTCTTCTGTGGATAACTTTTCATTGACCTTGGCCTTGAGAGCTTACTGCTGGATATTGAAAGCAAATGAAATCTGAAATAAAACCATCCTGTGCTGGAATTAAAACTGTACCTGGCCCTGCTCTGTGGGGGCAGGCAGATCAAGTACGCTGTTTCTAAAGGCTTCTTTCTTTCTTCTTCCTTTTTTTTTTTTCTTTTTTTGCTTTATTAGGCCAGTGAGGCAACAGGACTCTGAGGCAAGGCTGAAACATTAAGTTTACAATAGATGCTGGTGGTTCCGTTCTAGTTTTTGTTTATATTAAATAGCTTGTGTTAAAATATTCAGTAGTATGTCCGGATCTGCACTGTTTGCTTGGTGATCTGTGACAGTACCAAAGCCACTGTTTACCCCACAAGTTTTAAATTGTAGTTGACTTTGACCATTCCTGCCACTTCCTGTTTGCATAGCCTCAGGTCAGACCGGGCAACTTTAGGGCCCAGCTGTGGGACACCGGCCCATTGTTTAAATTATTGCCAGAGCCCCTAGTTGAGGATTGGGAGGTTTAAGGCAACTGAATTAGCCTAATTAAATTTGTGTTTAAAACAAAAGGCAGAGCACCAGCTCCTTGGCCTTTTCTCTGCCTCTCTCCAAGTTAACTAGGTTCTGTTACCTTGGCTGAAATAGCATCTGGAATTAAGTAATGACTACTGTGCGACGGATCTCCATTCTGCAGTCAGACTGGAAACCAGCTTTAAGGGTTTCTGCAATGTCTCTGCGCACTCAATAAGGAAGACAGGGTTTCTATCCAACTGGTTTCGGAACACACCTCTTCGGTGGGGACCCACACGCTCGCTCCTCCACACAACTTCGTGCACTAAATTCTGTGTCTCAACTAAGTCAGGCTGACCTGAACTTTCAAAGTCCTGGCCAGAACAAGGACCAGAACTTAGATCGGGTGCTAAGTTCCACGTACATCCCAAGTCTTCACAAGCTCCGTCTGCATTACGAAGTTCAGAACTAGAGGCAAAGAGGATGGCTGGCCTCTGAGGAAAAAGTAAAAGGTTAAAAAAAAAAAAGTTCTTGTTACCTTAACAAAATGACAAATCGAAGGTCTGCATCCTTTTCATGTCCCAGATGGGTCGGTGAATAGGAAAACAAGGGTAACCGCTGGTGATAGTGAAGCACACGGGTTTTGCTAGAGAAATTTCTACACTTGGTTGGGAACGGGCCTTCCAGAGAGGCAACCAGCAATCTGGTGCCTGTGCTTGGAGGTGGGTGGTGCTGATAAGGAAGTGGACTTAGGTTGAAAAAAAATTTTTTTTAATGTTTTTATTTGTGAGAGAGAGAGAGAGAGAGAGAGACCGTGTGAGCAGGGGAGGGTCAGAGAGAGAGGGAGACACAGAATCTGAAACAGGCTCCCGGCTCTGAGCTGTCAGCACAGAGCCCAACGCAGGGCTCGAACCCACGAACTGTGAGACCATGACCTGAGCTGAGGTTGCTCAACCGACTGAGCCCCCCGGGCGCCCCAGGAAGTGGACTTCTTGCCTGTCGTGCCATGAAACTGGGCAGTCGGAGCTGAAGCCGTAGGTCAGTGCCTGCTGGGTGAGGTAGGAGACACAGGAAGGTGGTGGGGATGTTAGTTTTTTCTACAAGGCATTTGCCAAACACGCCTGAAGAGCAGCAGGGTCGGGGTCGCTGGGGCCTGAAGAAGGGCGGAGGGCTGCTCGAGGAAGGCAGGGCTCCAGGGAAAGTACTTCCCGTTCACCGGCTGTTTGACTAGCTGCTGTTCAGGTTCACCGAGTCAGGGCAGGGAGTCCGGCCATGGAAGCCAGGTCTTGGGGGCACTGAGCGTTCTCTAGATCACCGTATTTCCCCTCGGTTCTAGATTTCTCGTTTTTATGGACCCCGAAGTAGCGACCCCAGCAGCTCCACTGGTGAGACCTGTGCAGAGCAGAGGCTGGAAACGGCAGGTCTCTTTCCCAGCGCTTGCGTGAATTCGGATGCGGGGAAAAATCTGTTTGAACGGAGCCTCGTACTGCGGAAGCAGAGACAAAGCCAGGCTTCCGCCTCCGACCCAAGCAGGTCACCCTGAAGTTTGGTCCTCAGTTAACCCCGAGGCCCGTTCCTCTCCCTGCCAAGCCCAGGACCTCTCCTCACTTCCTGTCTGAGGCGCAGCAGCTCTCTGACAGGCCTTGAGTCCTCAGCTCTCCCTGCCAGAAGCAGCCCTGAAGCCGGAGCACCCACTCCACGTGCCAGCAGCAAAAAGAGGTCAACCCCACAGCAAGTGCTGACCAACTTGGCCCAGAGCCCCAGCTAATCAGCGCGATCCTAGACAGAACTGTGCATCCCTCCGTAAGGGGACATGGGGGAGGGGCGACAAAAATACACCTTCTCAGGCCAGGGGCAACAGTAACGGGGACAGGAATTCCTCTCTTGGAAAATTTTTCTCTTGAAAAACATATGATAAAAATTACAGCCTAATTGTGTACTTAAACAGACAAAAATGCATTATACGTGCACTTTTCTAGAAGGGATACAAAAACAGGACTCTCCCGAGTTTTACTTCTCACAATTTACTCTTCTATATAGAATCTGTATTTTTTATCAGCACAAATTAAAGTTCATAATGTTTAGTCGTTCTCTTTTTAAGACTCGTGGGGTTATATGGCTTCCAGACCTCAGTTAACGCCTTACTGGGGACGAGCTCGCTTGAGATGACCGGCGCTTTCCGACTAGAGATGGCGGTTTAAAAAAGCCATTGCGAACTGAAACGAACAAATGTTATTCCCTGAATTCTATCCCGCGCCTTGGGATACTCCAGTGGCATCACGAAAGGACTGCTGCGCTGAGCCAGGTGGGACCCCGGAGTTCAAGATCACGGGTTCCACTATGGGGATCGCAGCTTCTGGTCCTAAACCTCGTCCAGTAATTGCACGGGCTACCGAGTGAGCGTCTGCTACGCAGCTGCCCGGAGACGCGACGCGGCGGCAGTCCCAGGAGGCACCAGGGCCCCGGAGGCATTCGGCTCTCATAAGCGTGGTGCTAAAGCAGCCGTTTTGGTTCTCTGAGGGAGAGCAGAGTCTGTTCACCTGAGCTGGGGGAGGCCTTCTGATGCCTCAAACCCTGGAGTCTGGCCCCCCGGCCTCTCTGGTTCTGCCGGCAGTGGGGTCACGATTTACAAACGCAGTTCCTCACGAGTGCAGCGACTGGAGCCCAGGCCCAGGACGAAGCCCGCCTCAGGATTCAGCTCGGCACACCCTGTAACGCGGCGCCGACACCTGCTTGGGAGGGCTAATGCCGACCTAAGACTTTTTTTCCTTTCTAAATTCCCCGTGGCCGACCTCCCCTGTTCTCCACCCACCTTCCCCTGTAAGCTCTGCCTTAGCCACACAGCGGCCAGGCCTCCCCTCGTGGGGTCGGGGGAGGGGGGGGCGGTGGGGAGGGGAGTTAAATTCAATTTAAATTCAAAGTAGGGAAAAACTGCACTTGAGAATGAATCATCCATTTCATTTTATTTTATTTTGTCATGTGCTCACAGCATCTCGCTCGCTCGCTCGCTCTCCCCTCTCCCTGGCAGGTCAGAGATAAATTAAAAATAAAATCTACAAGGAAAATAATTTATAAAAGCACTTCCCAGGCTCATGCCTTCTATCCCTACAGCTCATTTAGAACGCACCCCTCACCCCTGCCAAGCGAGGAGGAGAAGCGGTACTTCTCCCCCAACAACTCACTCCTGCTAGTCTGGGGCTGACTGTACTCCAGAGCCAGGCAGGGGTGGGGGCAGCAGTGGCAAACAGTTAAAAATAAAGACACTGTGGTCCTGGAACCATCTGGCCACCTTGGCGCTCCCCTCTCTGCCTCCCCCAGGCAGTCCTCCTGCCTGGGGCCTTTGCTAAGCTGGGGGTGTGGAGAAGCAGCCTGTGGCCCAGAGCCTGGGGGGAGGTGCTCTCCGCCCCCCCCCCCCCATTACGTGCACTTCTCATTCTAGAAAGAAACCAAAAAAAAAAAAAAAAGCAGACGGAGACCTCGGGACAGAGGAGAAAAATCCCAAGTGTTCACACAGTTACACGGAGTCTTTATGGCAAAGAGAACATTTAGCAGCTTTGAATATTGGGGTTATCTCCTTTTTACTCAACACAAGCATCCTACACCCTATAAGTGACACAGGGCTCAAGCCCTAAAAAAAATCAAAGCGCAAGAAATTCTAAGAGGACTAGTTTTTGTTGCTGGGTTTTGTGGTTTGTCTTCCAGTGACATGCCCAGTTGTTGGCAGAGGAGACCTGAGGGAAGGGTCGCCCCCCAGTGTTGTGCTGAATACTGCCTGGCTTCTCCACACCGTCCCCCCCTCCGCAGGGCGGCCCCCAGGAGGCGAAGGCTCTGTGCCGGGGGCACCGCCGGCACCCCAGCTGCAGAAGAGCTCCGGGCAGCGGGGAGGGGCGGGAAGAGAAGAGCATTCGCATGCAGGCTCTGATGGAAACTGTGGGCACCTCAGCTCCTGGGGGGGGGGGGGGGTCTGGGCACCGAGGGAGATGGATGGAGTGGCGGGGCAGTGAGTGACATGCTTGGTGCTGGGGCTGCTGCGACACTGGGGCCTCGTGACCCTTTCCCATTCACTCTACTCTTGGACCCAAACCTCCTAAGCCAGCGTTGGGTCCCAGTGGCTCCCCTACGACTAGGAACATTCCAGGAGACCTCCGAGGGCTCCCCTTCAGGGCCGCCACAGGGCAGGAGCCGCAGGAGCCTACAGAGCCCCTCCCAGATCCCACCTTGTGCTCCACCCTCCCGTGGGGTGCAGTGGGCCGTACTGGTGCCTGTGGCTTCGTCCCACCTCAATCCCGCTGCCTGGACTCCTGGCCAGAGCCGACCTTAACGTGCCCTTTGATTTTCTTCCCGCTTTGATTTTTTTGGGTTTGTTTTTTCGTTTTACCCCTTTCCACCCCTCCTTCCTTCCTTCCAGGAATGCCACTTGCTACGACTTTCCTCTCACGGTCCTCCCGCTTCACCTCGGTCGGCCTCCAGCGAGGCCGGCACCACCCCCTCCCTCAAAGGAAACAGCAGGCGGAGGACCCTGTCCACCCAAACGGTCTGGCCACCTCTGCCCCACCCCACCCCCACTGGGGGGAGCGGAGCCAGACAGCGCCTGCGCCCTCCTCTTCCTGTCCACTGACCCGCAGTTTCTCCCGTCTGAGAAGATCTGTTGGATAAGAAGGCATTAAAGTCCCCGCTGTAGGTCCAGGTCCAGGTCCAGGCCCAGCCCTTCAGTTTCCATCCCGATGAGCGTCAACCCCCCTCTCCTCCCGGGCTCACTTTCTCCGGTCCTTTGGCTTCCTCTCCTGTCGCCGGGCCTGCTGGTCAGCCAGGGTGCGGGGGATGAGGAGGACGCTGCCGTCCCCGGCGTACTGGAGTGCGTACTGGCTGGGCGAGTAGGGCCGCCCGTTCTCATCCCGCAGCCGCCCAAACACCTCCTGGTACAGGCTCTGGACCTTCTGCTTCATCTGCCGCAGGGAGCGGAGGAACTCGACCTTCTCCCGCAGCAGGCGAGCCTTATCGCGCTGCAGGTCCTCCACGTCCCGCTCCAGGTTCAGGATGGTGTCCAGCTTGCGCTTGCGGCAGTTCTGGGCGGCCATCTTGTTCTTGCCCCGGCGCCGGATGTCGCGGATGAGGCTCAGCTGGGCCTCGCTCAGCTGGTACTTGGACAGCAGCTCGTTGAACTCCTCCACGGGCAGGTTGATGATCTTGTCGTTGGTGAAGGGGATCTTCATGGCTCTGGCTCGATGCTCGTCCCGGCTCAGCTGCTTGTCTAGGAAGTCGGCCTGCTTCTCCTTGCTGCCTTTCTTGAGGGCGCTGGGGGGCGGCAGGTCGGCCGAGTCGAGGGCGCTGGGAGCCATGTTGTACGTGTGGTTGTGGCCCACGTGCTCCAAGTAGGGCAGGCAGGAGAGCTGAGACGGATCCTGGTAGCTCATGCGGCAGAACTTGGAATACTCGGGCTGGTAACCCACGGCGCCCTCGGCCTCTTCCAGATCCAGGGTCTCAGAGTCAGAGCTGTAGCCAACAGCACCCTCCTCAGAAAAGGAGGAAGAAGCGGAGGACGAGGAGGAGGACGAGGAGGAGGACGAAGAGGAGGAGGAGGACGAGGAGGAGGACGAAGAGCTGCCTTCTGAGCTGCTCAGGGAGGAAGGGCTATGGCTGGAGTCCAAGGAGAGGCCTGAGTCAGAGTCGAACTCCTCTTCGAGCTGGGAGGCCTGCACGGGGTTAAAGCCCTCTTCGATGGCCAGGTCCATCAGGCTGATCTCGTCCAGCATGGCCTCGTCTAACAGGCCCCCCAGCGGGTCAGGCAGCTCGGGGCCCGCCGTGTCGTTGGCTGTGCCGTTGAGCTGGGGCGGGAAGAAGAGCCCCGCCAGGTTGGTGGAGCCAAAGGTGGAGTTGAGGCTGGTGGAATTGCTGGGGACCAGCGGGAGCAGCGTGGAGCTGCTGGCCACGGGCAGGCTCTCCACCTCGGGACTGAAGAGCGAGAAGTCCTGACTGCAGCCCCCCAGGGACGCCTGATGCAGGCTGACGTTCTGATTGATGGGAGTGCTGGGGGCAAGGCTGTAGCTGGTGCTCAGGGGGTCTCCAGGAGGGGCGCTGTACAGGACCTCGTTTGTTGAGGTGTTCACTTCCATGGCCTGGGAGGGGAGAAGAGCACCACCGTTCACTCGGAGCCGGCTCCCTCCCCCGCTGCGGCTGGGGGGCACAGCAGGCACCCAACCCAGGCACAGCCACGTGGGCCTAAGGGCGACACACTGGAGTCCAGAGCCCGGGGGTCGGCTCCTGGCCCCGCCTGGTCCACCGGCGGGCACGGTTTCCTCTCTGGAGACCCCACCCCAATGCGGGACCGAGCGGCTCCAGCTTGCGTTTGGCCCGACTCGCCCGCCTCGGAGAGAGAGGAAGAGAACACCTAGCGCTGCCTACCTCCTTGGTGCAGCACCCGCACACATAAAGGGACACCCAGCCTTAGAGCGAGAAAACCGAGCTGCGCCGCTTGCTGTGAGACCATGGGCACCGCACTTAACCTCTCCGAGTTCCAATCTCCTCACCTTTACAACAACAAGGGGCTAACCGGACGACTGTACGGAGCCAGAGAGATGACAACGGCTATAAAGCACCGCGTGAGTGTCTGGTTTTACCAACGCTAAACCCTGGAGGCGCTGAGTCAAGTGACGCCCTCCGAAAGGCAAGGAAGAAGGCACACCTAGGAGGCAGTCCTGCTTTAGAAGGCTCGGCCCTGGGGTTTCATCCCAGCCCCCGCTCCTGATTTCACCCCGTCCCCCAAGGAGACACCTGGACAAGGACCTCTCAGCGTCCCCACTTTCCTACAGATCAGAGAGAAGCGTTACTTTCTCTTCCCAGAGGTGGAAAAGCAACGGAGCGCTAACCACCACCCCCCGCCACACACTGGCCAATAGGTTTGTGCCCCGTTCTAATAATCCTACCTGCATTTCCATGATGGACATGAGATCTTGCCACTGCTGCTCCAAATCAAAAGGCGAGTCTGTCCCCGTCAGCAAAGGAGACAAGAGGTTGTTCTGAAGACCTGGGGGCTCACTCTCACTAGGCACTGCTTCTGTGATGCTGGAAATGTCTGCTGGAAACTAGGGCAAAACACAGAGGCTTTAACGAGAAGGAAAGACCACCTTCTGCGTTCCTCCCAGAGACTACCGCCTGAGGTTCTGTCTCTTCCTTCCTCTGAATTCACCCCCAGTGGCCAGAACAAGGCCAGCACCAGGAGCTGGCCCCTCGGGCCGTCGCAGAGGGACACTCGGCGTGCAGGCCGCCCTGCTGGCTCGGTGGGCTCTCCCTGGAGTCCTGCTCACCTCAGCATTCTCCCCAAAGGGGCAGGTGGCCTCCAGCAGCCTAAGGCACTCTTCCAGGGACAGGGCCGTCTGGTCCTCCCCACCAGGCACCTGTGGCAACAGCAACTGTAAGTCTGACTGACCTGGGCCTTGGCTGCCTGCGGGCCACGGCCTCTTCCCCAGCCTTTCCGAGGGGGAAGCTGAAGGGGGACGTGTGTGGTTACAGGCCTGCACTCTCCGTCTGTTCCCGGGCAAACGGCCGGCCCCGAGTCCCAAACTCCAGGAAAGGAGAGAGGGAGAGTGGAAGCGTCCTCATGCCAACAGGAAGCTGCTAGGTGCTCTGCCTCCTCTGCTGTCTGTTACCAAGGCCTGGCCCCTCTGCTTCTGTTGCTCATCCACTCCCCCTTCCTCAGTCCAAGTGACTTAGAGACCCAGCCCGCAAGAGACATTCGGGTTTACCCCATAGAGAGAACCTGCCTTCTGGAAGGACGGGTTTCTAGAAGTGGGCGGAGGTGGAGGTACCTGTGCAGGGAAGCTCTCCCCCGTTTCTCCATCCACTAGCAGGTTTCGTGCCAGAGCTTCTGCACCCTCGCCTGACCAGGTGTCTTCCTGCTCCGCTCCGTCCTGCGGGTCCTTGTCCACATCCTGCTCCTTCTGGCGATGACTATAGTCAAAAATCTCACGCCCAGCCCCCAGGTCAATATCCTGTCGCCAAAGGATGTCAATAAGATCTATGTCCTGAAAGACAGATCACCATGACTTTAGTTCTTGGATCCAAGGGCTAGCATTGCTCTGAGAAGTCCTGGGAGTGGAGGGCAGCTGTCCCTGCTCCTGTCCCCTCTGTACCAACAAGGCTTCATTCATCCATTTCCAGACACCAGTCTCAAAAAAAAGAGAAAGGAAGGAAAGGAGGAGGAAGGAAGGGAGGGAGGGAGGGAGGAAGGGAGGGAGGAAGGAAGGAAGGAAGGAAGGAAGGAAGGAAGGAAGGAAGGCAGGCAGGCAGGCCGGCCGGCCGGCCACAAACAAGAGCTAGTGAGAATTACCAGCATGACCATCCCCATACAAGCCTGTGGGCTTAGGACCAGAGACACAGCCAGGCGGCACAAGAAAAGAAGGGGAAAGCAGGAGACACTTCTCATTTTGGGAACGGGAATCCCTTAAAACTTGGGTCTGTAGGACGCCGGCCAGGCCAAGCAAGGGCGAACTGTCATGCAGAATTGCTTCCCGGTGGCCAGGCTTGCATCAGCCCATGGTGCCATTGCATTTGCATAAAGGGGTGGGGTGGGCCAGAGAGGAAAATCCCTGCATTTGCAACCACCTGATGCAACCAATGACAGCGACAGGCGGTCTCCAGCCCTTCCTACAGCCATGCCCCCTTCCCGGGCGGAGGAAGGAGTAGGGCTGAACACCCACAACTCTTGAAGCCCAGGCTCACCTCAAGATCCATCCCTGCCAGAATCCCCATCTCAGCTGATCCTAGCAAGCTGCCTCAGTCCCAAGAGAGCCTCAGGCAGTCAGCTGATCCTCACCGGGCACCCCACCCCTGCCAAGGCCAGCCCCTGGTGTCCCCTCACAGGAGCACGCTCACTCCCTCGCCACACCCCGGGACTCGCTGACGCTCCGTCAGTCAGCCCACTCAAGGACGTGGACCCCATCACCGCTCGGCCACAACTGTCGCCCCAGGCACCAGAATGCCTCCTTCCCACTCCACCCTGGTGGCTCCTCACCAGTTCCTGCACCAACTGCCACCCCCACCAGCACCGAACACCAATAAATAAGAGCCATTTGGGCTTCCTGCACAGGCCATCCCCTGTGGCCGAGGAAACCCTGAACTCCTGCCTTCCATTCAGAGAGTTAAAAAGCACTTTCCGGAAAGCAACGTCCTCAGCGCAGACCCACCACCCCAGCCCTGACCGGGGACCCCTTTCCCACCGTAACCCTCCCAGATCCTAAGACCTCCCGGGTGTACCTCTCCCTTTAGTCTCCCCACATACACCAACCTGAACAGAAGCCCTGGACCCAGGAGCAGAGGGGGGCTGGGCCACCCGGTGACCAGCCAGCAAAGAGTTAAGGGGCCGGCTCTCTTTGGCACGGCCCCCACCACTGTGAGAGCTGCGGTCCAGGCGGGTCATGGTCTGCGAGATGAGCCCCGGGGCAGCTGGTGCCGGGGAGCCGGACAGGGGGCTGCAAGGAGCTCTTGGCTTGCAGGGAGCACACCAGGCTGGAAGGGTGGCCCCTTGCTAGCTCCAAGGGGCCCGAGGAGGGTGCCCCGCCCGTGCTGCTGCCTGGGCGGCCCAGCCCAGCCCCCTTCCTCCATCCTTGAGCAGCCCCCTCCCACCTCACAACCCCAGTTCCACTCAGGCGCCCGGCAGCCCCCACCCTGAGCTCACCGCAGAGGCTGCAGTGAGACGGGTCTCCCACCCCATGCTCCGTGCTCAAGCTGCAGAGGAGAGCAAGCTCCCTCCAGGGCCTAGCCTCCCGCTCCTCCCTCTCTCCCCCTCCCCACGCCCCCCAAACTTGTTACCTAGGCTGCAGCAAGGAGCCAATCCCCTCCCCCTCCCACCCCGCAGGTCACTGCTGAGGCTGCGGAGAGCCAATCCCCTCCCCCAGGTCAGCAGCTGGGCTGCGGAAAGAGCCAATCCCCTCCCACTGTCGTTACCTAGGCTGCGACGAGAGCCAATCTCCTCCCCCAAGTCTCCGCTGGAGATGCGGAAGGAGCCAATCCCCTCCCACCGCCTGTTACCTAGCTGCAGCCGGGAGCCAATCTCTGCACCAGGGCAGCTGGAGAAGCTGCCGCAAGGAACCAGCCCATCCCTGGGCCGCCTCCGTCTCCTCAAGGAGACGCACCCAGGGGCGGGCAGCCCCACCCAGCCCAGTCAGCCAGCCAGGGTGGCGCAGTGAGAGAGCACTGGGGGAGGGGGGGAAGGGGCGCCACTCTCTCTCCTGTCGCATCCTGCTCACCCAGCCCACTCAGGACTGGGCAGAAACCACTCCCGCAGCTTCTCGGGGCATCTAGTTCTTCCCTGGAAGTGGAAGGAGTTTTCCGGGTTCTCCAAAGGGCTGTGGCCAGTCATCCTGAAGCCCAAGGAGCACAAGCTGGGCTGCCAGGACCCCAGTGCACCCGGCCCTGCTGTGAGCCAGGGGCTCTGTCACCCTACGACAGGCCAGAAGGGAGGAAGGAGGAAAGCCATCGGCACACAGGCTGCGATGTCACAGGGCCAGCCGGGCCCAGCCCCGAGCAAGAGGAGAGAGACACAAGCCCGAAGGCCAGCAGTGAAGGAGACAGGCATTCTGCAACACCCTGGGCACAAATTTGCCCCACGATCCCTCTTTACCCCAGCTTTTTTCAAGAGCATTCTCTGCCTGACCCCTGGCCCACATCGCTAAAGCAAGGAGAAGGCCACCAACAGAATCAGGATCACGGCTCTGACTTCCATCCTCACTGCTTCAGCCCTTGAGCCTAAGGTCAGGTCAGGGACAGTATGTTCTCCTTGGTCACACACTGCTCCTCGCCGGGAAGAGCTGTACACGAGCCACCCCCTGCGCTGGGCAGAGCGCCAACCTCGAGGGGAATCCTATCCCTGACAAGGGCCTTGGCTATGGCTGTCCATCGAACAGGCCTGGCAGCGGGGGAGCGCTGCCACCCCGGGGATAATACCAGCTCCAGCAGCGCCTGTCACATGCTCTGGACCCGGGTATTTTTATCCCTGAGTTGCTGAGGAAATGTTGTTCTAGACACGTAACTACCCTCCCTTCCCCCCACACCCAGTCTAGGCCCCTAATGCTGACCCCCCCATCCCCATGGGAGCAGGGAAGGCCTGGAGTCAGGGAATACACAACCTTCATGAAGGCCAAAAAAATGGAAGAAAGCAGGGTCAAAGTCCCACCCCCTTCTGCCCCAACCCTTCCAGTTATATCCGAAGGTCCCACCCCATCCCGCCCTGTCCCCGGAGAGCTCCGGCAGGACAGCAGTGGAGCTACACCTGCAGGGGGCCCGGGCGCCAGCCCCGTCGCCCGCCGTTGGGGAGCAACATCAGGGCAGACGCACGAAGAGGCGGCAGGGAGGCGTACTTCTTCGGACCGCCGTGCCAGGACTGAAGCCCACGTGAAGGAAAAGGACAGAGAAAGCAGAAAAAAGACAAAGTTCCCAGTGGCCCTGTAAAATCTAAGACGTGAGACACTACAAGGTAAGGAATGCTCAGATAATTCTAGTCTTTCTCAACGCAGACCCAGCAGGAGCCACCTGAGCACAGAGCAACCCCGGCACTACGGACGTCTGGGACCAGAGCAACCTGGGGCCTGGGGGCTGTCCTCCGCTCTTCAGGTGTAGCCGCAGCCCTGGCGTCTCCCTCCCAGCTACCAACTGCACCTCTTCCACTCGTGACAACCAAAACTGTCTCTAGACACTGCCAGATACCCCCCAGCCGGGCAGGATCGCCCCCAGCTGCAGACCACCGGCCCAGAGGAAGCCACATGCTTTGACCGTCACTAGCATTCAAAGAAATGAGCTCAGGAACAGGCCTGAATCTCAGGACAGGAGGCAAAGCCTGGGCTGGCGGGCAGGCAGAAGAGACCTAAGCTGTGCAGCACCTGTAGGACTTGCCACACACCCAACCCCCCCTCCCCGAGACTCACAGCTCTGGAAAACCCAGGCCGGCGCGATCCAGCCTTCTCCTTCCCTAATGGTCAGGAGAGTGCAGCACACCTTTGCTCAAGCTCCCGAAGGCCAAATGGCAAGTCAGGGCCAAACGCAGAGCTCAAAGTAGTCTTATCATCTTGTTGGTGAGGTAGGAGCCGCAGGAGCCATTCGTATCGCTAAAGGCCAAGGCCCTCACTCTCTGCCCATAGTAGTAGCAGGTCAGCCACATGTCAGGAGCGAGAGCTCTCGGATGGCTCAAAGGAAGCGGACTTGGGCAGCAGAACGCGATTTCCCTTCTAGCTCCCAGCCCCGTCCTCCCTACTGCCTGCAACAGGCCTTCAGCAAGGAACGGGAGCCTTGGCCCTCTCCTGGCAGAGAGTAACTATCTAAATCTACTCCTAGGCTCAGGCCCAGGAGAGCTTATCAAGGACCTTACAAGAGGCCCGACCACAAAGGAGGGGAACTTCGGGATATACATGTGTTTTGACATGGGGGAGGTACAAGGCGAGAGTCCACAAAGTATTTGTGTCTTAGCAACAGATCTACACGGCATCAAAGCCCATCACAACATGACTCCCTCCCCCACCCCAAGGCCTCCAGCAGTCGTGTTGAAATCCAAGCAGTAAACACGCTGGCATGTTCTAGGAACCTCCCACTGCTCTGACGGTACATTTAGAGGTGGGTCAATGGTTCAACACAAGGAAATGTTCCCAGCCCCCAATCCCGGTCAGACAATTCAGCTCATTCCTATCAAAGAACAATGCCTGAGTCGTGTGTGTGTCTCCCCCCAACCACCTTCCCTCCGCCCCCCCACCCCACCCCCCCCGGCCCAACCACTCTGGTTCTTCACAGAGGGTAGACCCATGGCCAAGGTCCTTCAGTACCACCCCACCCCTGTGACCCCAGATCCCTCTCGCCCACCCGATGTGTGGCCACTAACCTCTTTGGTTAGGTCTCCACTGACAGGAGGGGCTACGGCTCCCAAATCCTCCAAATCTTCACTGAATCCCTGCTCCGTTTCGCTTTCTCGCACCCCGTTGTCTGGGCCTGTCACATCTTGGAGGCCACTGGAACTCTCGAGGGTAAGGCCTGAGCTGGGCTGGCTGCCAGAGACGGACCCGTCTGGATCCCGGTGGACCAGCCAGGCGTTTACCTCAGTGGTAGGCACCTGGAACCTGTCCAGGGCCCTCACCTGACTCAGGAGCCGCCGGGCCGTGAAGTAATTGTCCAGGTCTATGCTCTTGGGGTGCACACCATAGCCATCCAAGGTGTTCCTCAGGTTGTGGAACTGGGTCTGAGTATAGGCAGAACTGGGCCCCAGGATGATCTCCCGGAGCGGGGGGAGCTGTGAGGTCAGGTAAGTATCCACGTCCACCCGCACCCCAATCAAACTCAGCAGAATGGTGAACTGGAGGAGTCCTTCCGTTAAGTATTTCTTCAGAGAAAGCATTGCTGAAGGACCAGAACGTTTATGCTTTTTGGTTTTTAAATCTTCCAAAAGACAACACTCAATCAAGGCCACTGCTCTGCTGCTCCAGCCAGCAAGGAGCCCTCCTCAGGGCCAAACCCTGTATCCCCGCCCTGGCAGAACACAAGGGCCGGGCTCCTGGATGGCCTCGGAGGAAAGCACGCCCCGTGAAGCCAAGGCCACACTCCAGGCCACATTCACTTTTCCCTTCTCGACACCTCACCTCTGCACGCACAACTGTTGCTAACCCAGTCCAGGCCCACGTGACTTACTGTCTCCACAGTCCACATACAGTCACTTCCTCACTCAACGTCAGTTGTCCTCTCTGTGGATTCCACTGCAGGCTGTTCTCAGGAACAGCTGATGGACTTTTTTTTTTTTCTTTCTCCCTAAGGTTTATTTTCTTTGGCTGGAGCTACAGGCCTTTTGTCTTGGGTCAGAGTGTCCCGCCTCCTCCACACTTACCAGGGGGGTTTCCAGAGAAACCTGAAATGGGAATCACAAGAGCAACAGGATAAGATTCTAGAATGTTCACAACCACGATCAAGGCAGAAGCCAGGAAACACATTCAAAAGCCACTTTTGCATTTTATTGAAAAAATATCCCAGAGGAAAACCCAAAAATCTGTGACAAGCAGAAAAACTATGAAAGGAAAATACTGCTCACAAAGGATCCCAGTCTCTGGATGTTAAATGTGTAACTCCCGCAAAGGTAGCTTGTTTTGGAGAAGAGGACAATGCCTCCGCAGCCAAAATATTTTACATGTTGTCTGATTTACCAACCCTCCCCCACGCCATCCACACACTCCCGAGCTTCTATTTTTAGCCTGAGAAGCCCATTTCCTATCTTAAAGAAAAGTTGATTTCTCATCTTTCGGGAGAAAACTACCTACAATCCCTGTCCCTTCCAATCCTAAAGGGAAGGGAAAGGCTATTAGTGAGAGAAGAATGCAAAAGGATCTGAGGACAATGCTCAGGACACCACCTGGAAAGGAGTAATGCCTTCTGTCTCCCCAGCTTTAAAATATTATTTCCCTTTCCGATCTCTCATATTAAAAGGGGAGCTGAGAACGCTGAGGGGCTGGGGTGGTGAGGCAGGATTATTCAACACCCATAATTTGCATAGGCAGGTTTTATTTTCATTCATATGACCTTCTGAGCCAAAAGAGAAGGATAAGGCCAAGTTCTCAACCCAGAGAGCCAAGTGGGGAGGGAGTAAATCTGCCTTTCAGTTTCTAGTCTCTACTTTTCAGCTTCCATTAACCTCTTAAACCAAGATAACTCTCTTCACTACCGTGACCCACCTACCAACTTCATCTTAAAGGGGAAGAGGGACGGACGGGGATACACATACACATACACACACACACACACACACACAAACACAATCTTACTCTCACACACACACGCACACACACCTTATTTGGTTAAAGTAAACAAAACTGCGACCCAGAATTCTGGCTTACACTACCCTCCCATTCTCACGCAATCTAGTACTAAAACCTCCCAAGAGACAGTTAAGTTCGAGAAACTGGACAAGGCCCCTTAATGACGGAGTAAGGCCAGGGGCCTCCGGTCTGAGCCCGCTCCCACCCCGCCCCGGATACCCGAGTCCGGCTGGGACCAAGTCGCCATGCCCGCTGTCGGCGCCTGGGCTTCTAGCCTTCTGGGGCAACAGCGAACAAGTGCTCCTCTGCCGGCCTTGACCCACCCTCACAGCCAAACCCCACCCCGCCCTCCGTCCCGCTGGCCCCACCCCGTCCGGGCCCGGGCCTCACACCACGCCTTCTCGCGCCCTCAGCCCTCCCCAGCCCAACCCACCCTGGAGCTAGCTTGCTCCACGGCCTCGCGGCCCCTCCCAGCCAGGCCCAGGGCCCGGGCCCGACGCGAACCTCGCTCAGCCGCCCGTTCCCGCCTCCTGCCCCTGGGCTCCACCCCGCCGCCCTTCACCCCACAAGCCTCAGCCCCGCGGCGCTGCGCCCCTCCCGTCGGGGAAAGGAATGTGCCTGATACCCGCTGCAGAGCTCGGCGTCCGCCGCTGCCGCCACAGCAGGCCCTCAGCCCGAGTCCCGGCCTTGCAGCCGCCACCACCGGCCGGCCTAGAGCTCCCCAGCCTCCGCTTCCCTCCCCGCCCCCTCCTCCCACCTCACTCGGAAGCCCGCCCCCCGCGTCTTTCCTCGGAACACGCTTCTCCAATCAACGAGCCCAGACAGCGGCCGTCGCCGGATGTCACTTTGATTGACAGCCGAGCGCGCCCAATGGCTGAGCGTGCCTCCTCCTCCTCCCTTTCCCCATTTCCCAAGACTGACATGGCCCATGGCCCAGTGGTCGCGTAGGCCCGCCCCACGGTGTGGGCTCACCAATAAGTGGGGCGAAGGCCCTATAGCCCGGCATTCTGGCCCCTCCGCCGTGCGTCGGCCGCCCGAGGTATTACAGGCTGGGCACGCAGTAAAGTGTGCAAGCTGATGGCTTCCAGTGCATTCTTCAGCTGGGGGATAACGCCCTAGGGCCGGGGGTGAGAGGCGGTATCGCTGCCGGAGCGCGCACTTCCCCCCCAGAAGGTTCCCACGGTGACTTGCAAAAGTCCAGTGAGACCTGAGGAGGCCGAGGCGGGACACGGAGCATGTGTTTCCCGCGGTGGCGACGCTCGAGCCGCCATATTGAATGCTGGCAGCGGAAGCCGCTACCGCCGCTTCCGGTCTGTGCGAACCTGGCACCGCGCGGCCCGTGCCAGTCAGGGGTGGTTGCGTCATAAGTCACAGGCAAGGGTTACATCTCGGGAATGGCCCTGCGGGCGCATTTCCAAGCCATTGCTGGGACGTTGGCGGTGTGAGGGCTGTGGCATAATTAGCTATTTTTTTGTCGTAATAGGAACGTCCTGTAGAGCTCTGCCCCGTCTTGTTTCCCGAGCCCGGCCTACCACGGGGCTTAAAAGGTCTTGCCTTTCAGGAACGTTCCTCGTTTCCAGGCGCTGGCCTCTCTCACGAAGCCAACAACCTTGTGATTTTCAAACATTACTTTATACCCAGCGTCACTTCAGGGAGCTTGTTAAACCTGCAAATTCTGAGGCCTCACTCCAGAGATCCTGATTCACTTAACCCTGGGGTGGGGGCCTGATCACCTGCCTGCTTAGTAACGACTTGGGTCATTTTAATGCACTTAGTCCCAAGACCACGTTTAGGCAGTCACGAAGTTGAGGTTCATGGTACTTTGTTCCCAGCTGTGGGACAAAGAGGCATCAACTCGAATACTTAAGTCCAGAAAGATCCTTATCATCTAGTGGGCAAAGCCCTTGGTTCTTGGACAACTAAGGACAAGGCCAACCACTGACTCTTCAGATCGCAACATGGAATCCTCAGACGCTTCGAGAGTTAGGAGGCTTACTTTGGGGTGGTTCACAGATTCTAAACGATTTTAACATTTCATACAGAAATGTACACCGGCGTCCATTCATTGAGTCCTTAGAAAACCAGGGAGCCACTTCTGCATCTCAAAGATTCTGATTCAGAGACCACATCTTTTACATTTTTTACTGTTTGTCTTCCAGCAAATGCTAGAATGTAAACTCCATGAGGACTAGAATTCTGTACATTAACTGTTGAGTCTTCAAAACCTAGAACAGTGCCAGGAACGAAATAGACAATAAACAATAATTGAAGAACTGAAGCAGGCAGACCTGTGACTAGAAGTTCCTGCAAAAAGGGGTGCCTGGGTGGCTCACTTAAGCGTCTGAACTCAGCTCAGGTCATGATCTCAGACTCATGAGTTCAAGCCCCATGTCCGGCTCTGTGCTGACAGCTCAGAGCCTGGCGCCTGCTTCCGATTGTGTGTCTCCCTCTCTCTGCCCCTCTCCTGCTCACGCTCTGTCTCTCTCTCTCATTAAAAAATTTTTGTTCTTAAAAGTTCCTGCTAAAAGCAGAAATTGATACCGTGGAAGACATGTGGTTTTGGAGGATAAGGGCATGTTGCCAAGGAAATGGGAAACTGTTAAGCCCCTGAATTCTTAAGACCATGAAGGTAAATACTGCTGTTGGATAAGAAAAGAGGAGAAACTGAGGCGTGCTTTGTTAACTCTAAAAATCTACCAAGAGGGTGAGTAGGGAATATTTAAAAACCAAAGAACTGGGGTGCCTGGGTGGCTCAGTCAGTTAAGCGTCCAACTTCAGCTCAGGTCATGATCTCACAGTTCATGGGTTTGAGCACCGCATTGGGCTCTGTGCTGACAGCTAGCTCAGAGCCTGGAGCCTGTTTCAGATTCTGTATCTTCCTCTCTCTCTGACCCACCCTGCTCATGCTGTCTCTCTCTCTCAGAAATAAATAAAACATTTTAAAAAAAAAGAAATTAAAAAAAGCCAAAGAACTGAAAGATACCAAAGCTAAAGTTATAGAGCTTAAATACAAGAGTTTTTGGAGAAGATAGGAGTGTCATTTGTTTGATACGACAAGTACGAAACAGTTTTAAAGCTTGACAGTTAAAAAAAAAAAAACTGGGTAATCCGTTCTCCACGGGGAATCAGGAAACCTTAGCACCAACAAAACTGAATGTTTTGGACAGGTCCGTTTGTGTTTTCCAAGTTCCTTTTGCACGTCAGAGCAGGCTACCAGGTGCCTGGGATAAGAAATGAAGTCCTATAGTGGATCTCAGACTGACTGACGTGAGATGAAATAAAGTAAATATTCACTGAAATGAAATGGCAGCTGTAGGTGAGAAGGCCACACTGGTGAGATAACACGTGACATTGTCCCACCGCTTTGAAAGCCTGAATTCATTTGGTCACTTTTTTTTTTTAATGTTTTATTTATTTCTAGGAGAGAGAGAGAGAGACAGCGTGAGCAGGGGAGGGTCAGAGAGAGAGGGAGTCACAGACTGAAACAGGCTCCAGGCTCTGAGCCGGCAGTCAGCACAGAGCCCGACGCGGGGCTTGACCCCACGAACAGAGAGATCATGACCTAAGCGAAAGTCGGACGCTTTAACCGACTAAGCCACCCAGGCGCCCCTTATTTGGTCACTTTTAATGACTCAAGTTTGCTGAGTTAGCACTCACCCATCCTCTCCTCTCCTTTCCTTTCCTGGTTGTAGAGGGAGTAGCAGGCACGGAGAACAGGAGGGGCTCCATATTAATCCCTAGGGAAGGGGTGGGAGCGGTGTGGAAAAGTCTTTGGTTCGTGCCCACACGGCCCCCTTCGTTTTCTCTTGCCTGCCAACTTCCAGTACTGTGCTTCCTTGTGTATAATAATTATTTGAGGGGCGCCTGGATGGCTTAGTCGGTTAAGCCTCCTACTTTCGCTTAGGTCATGATCTCGCGGTTCATGGGTTCAAGCCCCGCGTCGGGCTCTGTGCTGACTGCCGGCTCAGAGCCTGGAGCCTGTTTCAGTCTGTGACTCCCTCCAGGGGGGCATTTCCTAGCCTAGTCTCTCTCTCTCTCTCTCCTAGAAATAAATAAAACATTAAAAAAATTTAAAAAAAATAATTATTTGAATGTACAGTGGGAGAAAGGTGGATCAGGAACTGTATGATTGGGTTAAAGAACGACCCGCATAAAGTTTCCTTCTCAGCAGTTGCTCAAGGGTGGGAAGGAAGAAGGAAAGACAAAGAACTGCTAGCCCGTTGCAAGGGCTGAGGAGGATATAGAAGTAGAGACAGCCTCAATCAGCAGCAGGCAGTTAGGGCTGGCAGGGTGTGGGCGTCCAGGATATTTAATACCTCTTGGCAGCAAGAGAAGATCAGATCAAAACACTGTCGTCTACTCAGTCTAGAGTTCCAGATCAAGTCTGAGCAGGTGCACACCTCCTTCCCAGAACCCACTGATTAACCCTGTAAAATCCAGGGTGTGTCCTTCACCCAGGAAGCCGCCCCCCTCCCTTCCCGTGGCATCCTCCCCCCCCACCTTTGCTTTGGACAGCTGTTAATAGGACAATTACCCAAGAACCAAAAGAAGGATCCCATGCTGATGTGTCATCAGTCCTGGTATATCCATTAAATCAGACTGAGAAGACCACTGGAAAAAGTGAGCACATGCATTCCCCTCCCTAGGAGAGAGGCTGAGAGCCATCAGCAAAACCCGGCTTTGCCCATGTGACTCGAGACTGCTTGGGAGAGAAGGCAGCAGGAAGCCAGGAAGAGAGTTAGTTCTAAAGCACAGGGATTTCATGTAATCGAAGAGCCCACTAAGTATACACTGAATTCTCTACTCATCTGCCTTATATATCCCTGCTGACCCAGCTTCCCTCCTTGGAAAAAGCTGTTGCCACCAGCAGACACATCCATCCCCCAACCATCCTGGGAGGAAGACACCTGGATGTGTCAGAGAAGGGGCTGGATTTCTTCTGGAATAGCAGGAATTGCTTTTTCCCCCTAAAGGGAAATCCAGTCTTTCTGCTATTCTGGTTGCCCATCCTTTTTCCTTTCTTTAAAAAAAAATTTTTTTTTAATGTTTTTTATTTATTTCTGAGAGAGAGAGAGAGACAGTGTGAGCAGGGGAGGGTCAGAGAGAGAGGGAGACACAGAATCCAAAGACAGTCTCCAGGCTCTGAGCTGGCTGTCAGCACAGAGCCTGACGCAGGGCTCAAACCCACGAACCGTGAGATCATGACCTGAGCCAAAGTCAGACGTTTAACTGACCGAGCCACCCAGGTGCTCCCTTTTTCCTTTCTTTTTCTTTATTTTTTAAAATTTTTTAATGTTT